AATAATAAAAATAATAGTATTAAGTTTAGTAAATATTACTTAAATAAAAAGAAGGATTTTAATAAGAAACTAGTTATAATATTTAGATATATAGTAGGGATTACTATATTTAAAAGGGGGATAATTATAAGGGATTAGATACCTAACTAGAGGGTCTAAAGATAGCTTAACTAATAGAAACTAAATAGATAAGAAGGTTTATAGGTCTAAAGTATAGAACCCTCTATAATAAGGGCTTAATAAGTACTTACTAAATATTAAAAAAGAAAAAACTTAGAAGAAATAAGTAAAAGTAGTATAATAATACTATACCTACTTTTTAGGTACTTCTTCTATTAGTTTAACCTAACTATAGCCTATAGCCTCTAAATACCTTTATAGATACCTACCCCCTAGTAATTTATACTCTCTTTATATTCCCCTATAGGTAGTTATAGAGGTTTCTCTATAAGCTATCCTAGCTTTTAAATATTTCCCTATAAGAGTTATATAGCAGTTAATAAGGTGCGCCTCTAGGCGGCAAACTGCGAAGAAGAAAAGTTAGAAGGGAAGAAATATAAAGTCGGCTTGTTTGATTCGACACTAGCACTGGTTACTAAAGCGACATTTGGAATATCAATCCACGACAAGCCTTAATTCCGCGAGGGGGATTTGCAAATTAAGCAAAGCGTTTGCCTTTGGTCGGAAGAAATGACTCTTCGAGAACTCATCGTTCGGGAGTTTCCCCCCAACATACAAGTGGACCAACTCTCGGGTCGTTTTAAGGAAAGGCTAGTCTCACTGCGAAGCTTGGTCCAGCATGCCGATCTTGAAGTTGTGTGGACGAAACATTTACCGGATCATCTGCTGCTATCATACAGTGAACACAGCAAGACCCTGAATGTCTTCGATCTACCATCCCTGCTGGAGGTTAGCTATGAATCTTGGAAAGAAACGGACAGTCACTATGGCGGCATACCTAACTCATGTTGTAATATGAAGGAGTGAGTTGTGACATCAACAATCTTCGTATGATTCGTAACTGACCTACGCGCAGCCAAATGTTCGGGTTCTCTGCAGACTTCATGCTAGAAACATTGCAGACATATAGCTTATTGATTCCGCATCGCGACGCAAGATGGGTTCGGAAAGCCTTCCTATCTTCTTCGTCTGCTTCGTGGTATCGGTTCCTCACACCCTGGAGAAGGACATACCAACAGGCCGCCGACCAACGGTTAACAGAGGTTTTCAATCTTTGGCAGCAGGATTCCGGTGTTGGTAGTCGACTCACGACGTATTCTCAAATGTTTCGAAGATTCCCACATTGGGGACTACGCATTCAAAGCTTACTGGAAGAGGCTGAAGACCCGACACCAATGTCGTGGACAGGCCGCTGGGCGGAGAGAAGGAAAGGGCCTCGACACTCATTCTGGGTGACATTTATTGCATTTCTGGCGGCGACTATATTCGGAGTTGTCGCAACAGCCTTTGGAGTGGCCCAGCTTTGGGTTGCGTGGTGCGACTGGCAGGATGGGGCTCCAAAGCTTTGCAAACCGCGAACTTCCGCGAAGGATGAGTCAAGAACGTAACTTAAGGCAGGCCACGTGCCGCAAAGTTTTTGTTGTATGTTAACTGTGGTTTGGCGGATGTCGCATAAAAAAAGTGAATACCACTGTGAATGCCCTAGTCAAAGGTCGAATTGCCATCAGGAATGAGATGATGCATAGATCTGCAGGTAATTGATTATCGTCATACAGTATGATATGAAGATTGCATTCATTCATAGTCAAGATCGGATCCACTGCTTCTACCTCCCCGTTTGAGCCACTACTCGGAGGCAGTTAGACCGCCAGGGGCGTCCTCATACGACCGAGCATCTGCACTCCTCAGCTTCCCTGGTTCCAAAGGGATATCGCTGTTCGAACTCCTGGCCTCTGACGGCTGATGCCTACCACTGGAGCTGATGAGCGTTGATGGGAAGTTGAAAAGGTCCCTGCGACCTCCGCTATTGACATAGGCGGAAGAAGATGGATGCGACCGATCCTTTGTTGAAGCTTCACGTTGTCCGCGGAAGTAGAGATAGATCGCTCTAGAAAGTGCAAGATTTGCGGCGACGATACCGAGAAAGAGTTCGAGATTCGACCAGATCGCGACGATGCAAAATGTCCAGCTAAGATCTTCATTCGACAATCCCAAGAATGCCGCTCTGGTGATTCCAAAGCCAGAGGCGACCAGTCCGAGACTCATCAAACACATCACCAGAACTTTCTTTCGATAAGGTATCTTGACTTTCCATATCAAAGCCAAGGGGATGAACGAGAGAATGAGGTCGGTCAGAACGGAGTGTGCTGGGTTCGCCAAGTTAGCATTCAATTGCACCTGATATCGAGATAGAGAATCGTCTTCACTTGTCCGACAAAGAGAGACACCGGCGAGGCCTACCTATGGTAGCATAAATCCAGTAAATGCGGATCTTGTTTGGCCAGCACTGTGCAGAGGGACCTCTCCAGAATCCTGCCGGTCGGCACTCCGCCAAGAGAACGACCACAACGCCCATGTTTGTCACCAGTACGCCGGCGATGATGGTGTAGATGAATACTCGTAGCCCCTTCTTATCATTGAGTCGGAGGACCAGCGCGCAGATGGAACATTTGAGACATGCCATCGATGTGAAGTGGAACAGCTGTCCATACCAGCCGTACATGTTGATCATCTTGTAGTCGTAGTCGCTGAGATACACACGGTGTCTTCCATTGCCGTGGGGTAACTGCATAGCTGCAATGGCGTATCTGACAGCAGCGAATATTGCAGCCAAGGCAATCGTCGCATCGTCCCAGCCGAAGTTTCGACGAGCTATGCGAACCCAAAGGCGAAGGGCGGTAGTGATTAAGAGAAGAACGAGAAGGGTTGTCGATACGGCTAGCCACACAGGCCCGATCGTTTCATCTGGGGGCATCGCACTGTCTCGGGCATTTACGCCTGTAGTGGAAAACAGAGGAATGCCCATGATTTTGCCTGTTGGAAATAAAGGCAGGAAACAACAATGCAGTGCTCAACGTAGGCTAAGACATTGTTCTAGCATGAGGGTGAAGGAAAGACCCAGCCGGTGCCGAGTGACCATCAAATCGCGCCGCCATCTCTATATCAATGAATTTCATCTCCGCAAAACCAAGGGCAGGAGGAACTGAGCTGGAAGCGCGCCCCAGTACACTGGGTCATGGCTGGATGGGGGGCAGTCATGGTCGAGTGCGAGCCAGGGTGCCGGGACAGCGGTCGAAGCCATCAACACCCAAAGGATGGCTGAAATATGATCCGTCATTTTTCGAGGTCTCTAATCATAAATATGGTGACTGCAAAGTCTACCAGGCTTCTGGTATCAGCCAACGTTCAAGGCGCGACCCAGCCTAGAAAAAGAAAGCACCGACGAGAGGTGTGGGGTACCTCCAAGTTTCTTCCAACAACATGGACGCAGAAAACGAAACCAGGATGCGACGGATCCATCACGCGGTCTTGGCTGGAAAACAATGTGATCCGGTACATTGATCTGGTCTATATTTGGCTTAGTCTCTCTGGGGAGGCGATGGTCCAGGGTTATGACGCGAGAGTTTGGCTCTATCGGGATGGGATACTGGCTTTTCGGGGTCGGAATCGCGGTCTGGTTGCCGTTGACACGCCTGTGGAATCTCGTCGGGACCTCTCGTCAAAATACGTTGGCGTCTGATGAGAATCCCCCGTGGTCGCCCATCTACGTCTGATTTTGTTCATGCGAGGCGAGCGGAGAAGACAGGACCGACAGGGGCCTAAGGAGCTGGATTTCCAGATTGATCACCATGCTGGCGCAGTGCAGAATAATCAGGTGAAAAGCCTTGATGTGGTGTCGAAGACAACCAACAGGCCAATGATGTGCGGCGAATGTTAGTGCATTGTTGGTACTATCGGCCGTAAGCAAATGACTGGCTCGCACTTCATGGCTGCTTGCTTTTTTTGCATACCAGTGGGCGAACCTGGAGAAGATTGATGCTGCACGCCTGGACGACTTTGAGCGACCGCATGCCAATCCTCATCAGTTCAGGCAGTAACTTTGTAGATGTGATGATTGACAAGGGACTGTCAGAAGGGCGACACTTGAGACGGCAGGAATTTCCGTGGTGAAGACCTTTGTCACCAGGGGTGTGCACAGTTGGTTGCCATTTCCCACGTGTTGGGGCTGTCCAGGAACCCTTGGATGTTTGTCCGATGTGCCTCCGCGTCATTGCAATCAGTACAGATCACGATCAATGGGCGAAGATCCTTGTAAGATTACAGCCACGAACCGTTAGCTCGATTTGGAAAACTCAAGGATGGCCCGGCAGGGAATCCAGTCTTCTGCAATTTCGAGCTAAGTACAAAGGTGCGCTCAAGGGTACCTACACCTCAAGTAGGCCAATGAGTCGCTTCGAATTATCAATGAGCTTGAGGCAGGTCGGCTCCCGGTCTGACGAACCACAGAGCGAGCGATAGCTCGGTGGACAATCTGGAGCAGGTGGCGTCTGATGCCATCGCCGCTGGCGTTGCTCAAGCCGTGAGATGAAGCCTTGCAGACATTTGTCCCGCTGCCCCTCGATACCAAAGACCTCTGCTTTTACTAGATTTCGCATCATGCTTCCCCATTGAGTCGGGGACACTTCTACCTGAAAGAGCGGGGAGACGGTAGCCAGGGAAGGCTGATTAGCCTGATCGGCACCATTGTGTATGCCAAGTTGTTTCTTCTCGCCTGCTTCTGAGGCTCGCTTCTCCTCCTCGTCGATCGACCTCACGATTCTATGATACGATTCTGCGACGCATAGGCACAGTACTCCGAGTAACGCCGCATTCTGGACGATGGAAAAGTATCGCAACGGACACTTCTGACACGTAAGGACCTCAGATGCCGACTCGATAGTACTTCTCAAGAGGGCAAAGTCGTTCGGGGCCGTCAGCTGGTCTTTGACTCGAAGGTGCTCGAGGAGAAGATAAAGAACAGAGAGGCATGCACAACCGCCTGCGGCCGGCTGAGTTGCGGTTGCAATAGGGGGAAACGCAGCTTGACTCGCCGATACTATGTCTGCCCTGGTGCTAATGGGAAAAAGCAGGGTCAGCATGGCGCCTGTTGGAGTCTTTGATTGGAATGAGGGACCGGCTACCGCGGTTGGCCCAGGTTCAGCAAGCACTGATGGATCTCGAATCCATCTTCTTCCTGGCCTTGTTCGGGCTCCAGTACTTGATCACTACTCAGATCACTCGCGCAGGTCCGTGAAATTTCCGTTCCTGCATCTGAGGCAGCCGTTGTTGGTATCTCGGAGACATTTGCTGGCGAGGGCGATTGCAGGGTGTGTTCCGACTGTATCAGCCGCCTTCGACGATTGGGTTGACGCGCGCTTCTGGGTCTCCCCATGGGCTTCTGTAGAGAGTAGTGGCAATCTCGTCTTGACGCATGGCATTTCGAGCAAGTTGGATGCTCGCCAGGGCACTTGATCTTCTTGAGTCCTGCATCATTGATTAGCCTGCCGGAATACTCCGAACTGCCGAAAAGGGGCATACTGCAGGCTTCACAAGATCCACGAACGGCTTGTGCAGCCGAGGCCTTCCCCGTCCCTCGTGAAGGCATGATGATAGGCGATTACGGAAGGCTTCGAATTGTCTTCGATAACACAGACCCCGGGCACATAGGGAGAGGGGTTACTGGTAAGATGAGGTGGTGAGAAGAACAAATATGTCCGAGCGGTGCGGAGACTTTTTGCTCTGGTTGAGTCGAGCAGGGGTATGATGAGTAATCATGTGTTGTACTAATCTTATTGGACGAATCTATCCGGCCTGCCCCAAACCCGGCATCGACCTCGCAAGCTGCCGACTGGATACATCTTGAGTTGAATAGCAACTCGTTCGGCAACTGAATGTTCATAAATGAAAGGTTCACTTCACATTCCACCTCTAACTCACAGTCTTAAGACCAACTCGACCTACCCAATCGGCATTGGTCCATGGGTCACAACACATTTCCAACGTACTGCGGACGCGAACAAGTTGTCAACTGGCTTGAATCAGAAATCAAAGAATTGAGCAAAACTCCCAAGCAGACTCATGTTCCCAAAATTATCTCGATAATCTATGTTAAACTTCTCCCAACCACTCTTTTGACAAAGCCTCCTCATAGGCTTCCATCCAAGCCGGGAAGGCGAGTTCAGACTGATCTCGGACCTTGACCAGGACGTCTTTTCTCCATCTAGCTTCTGGATTATAAACACCTTTTGCAATATCTTGATCAATGACCTGCATGTGTGTACCGACGCGCCAAAACACACATGTAAGGTTCGGTAACCTTCCACTCGTCATAGCTTCGGCAAGTGATTTGAAGCTTTCATCGCGGTGTGTCAGAAATCCATCCACATGTATCTCAACCAAAGACGCAGGCAAAAGATCTGGAAGTAGCTTCGAATCTGATTGTTTTACCCCAGTTCCTTCGTAAAGTGTCTCGGGCCAAACATCGCTTGCATCCAAGTTAAGGGTCTTGAGAGATGTAAAGTCGGCGAATGAGAACGCTTCATAATCCCTCTGTGATTTTGGTCGCCAGCTGGGCCACCAAATGCACCGTTGCAGGGACATGTCGAGGTACTCCAAGGTGTGTTTGTGACCCTCCAAAGCCTCTCTCACCTGCTTGGGCGATGGGCAGTAGTCTGTGGTTGATTTATAACTGAGGCGTCTCAGTTTGGGGAAACCCTTCATGACCTTCGGGAGCATTCCATCCCATGAGCCCTTCATCATGATCTGCAATGTTTCGAGCTTTTCCAGGCGCGGAAGGCTGTCTAACCCTCCTGCGCTGCAACAAAGAAGCTCGAGATTGGGTGCAGCATCGACAAATAGCTTTTCTACTGAGCTCGAAATATGCTCAATCTCATCGCCGTCTAGTGTTTCGTAATCAGAGCGCTCGTAACGGGTGTTCAAGTCCGCAACCCCGTGATCCAGCTCCATGTGCCACACATTCGCCAGGAACGGACGTGCAAGACCAACGCCTGAGCCGGTCCTCGCGGCCCAAGCGGAGAGCGACTCAAGTTTCCAACTTCCGGGTAGACAGATGTTTGTATGAGATAGGTTTGGAAGCAGGACCATGAGAATCTGGAAGTATGCCTCGGCAATATCCCAGTCGAGCCAGTCCTCCGTGATGTTGATTTCAAGGCCAACTCTGGAGGAGAGCCTTGAAACCGCGAGCTTCTGTTCGTCTGTGGCTTTGCTTGGCATGCGCTCGTCGTCTTCGCATCTGTCAAGCATATGGATGTCCAGAAACTTGACGTTGGCCGCAAGATCTGGTCTTTCGGACAGGGTTTTGGTCAAGGTCCCAAATCGATGGAGGAACGTCGAGAGAGATAGTCCCCAGTTGATGTAATTGTAGTTGAAAATTGACTGGTAGGCGATCGGTTGAGCGACGAGGCGGAGGAGTTTGCAAGTGCTGCACAAGTTCATGAGATTGGTATCCTGCTTCTGAAGTTCACGCCTTATGCCGAGATCGCGCGTGTTCAGGCTAGGTTTGAGCATGTGAATGTCATATGGCTCCTGTCGAGGTCGGAGACAATTGAGGATGATGACGAGAGTCTCGACAGGCAAATCGGTGAGAGAGGCCATTATTGGCTGACTGGTGATGTTCCGACGTCGATATGGATCCTGGAGCACTCCACCCGGCCGATTGAGCTATAGGTGCGACCACGAAACCCTTATATGTACACTGTACTTCAGTCGCGATTATGTCCTGCGTCTGAGTGTCCTAGAGATCCTGTCCGAGTGGCGGGATGATTCGATCTGTGATAGGCTGACTCGCACTGATTCAAGTGAGGCCAAAATCCTGCCCCACTAAGCCACTGTCGTCACACCTCAAATTTTCTACATCTCGCGCGTCTCATACGATAGATGCATTGTCATATCATTAGCGAAGAACACCGTGAATACTGGTTGGTCGAGTTTTTGTGTTTATGGGTATCTGCAACACGGGTGCGTGGTGGTTATCTTCTGACAAGTGAATCACCCATGCCGGCATCTTTCATAGTTGCAATAGCTACGCGAAACTGCCCCGTTTCGATTACAACCCAAATATCTTTTCCGAGGGTGACCGCTCACTAGCCATGATCCTAATCAGATACCTAGTACTTTTGACCCGCGGCTGGGTCTCCGATGACTGCAACCTCATCATCACCTTTTGAGGAACTTTGAGACCCAACGACTGCCCGGCGCCGCAAGTTGCCAGCGTCATCATGTTCGGCATCCCATTGGGCCAACTCAGAAAGCGGGACTTGAACAAGGCGATGCGTATTGGCACCGTTGTCCGTTACGTCCAGGATTTCGGGTCGGATCCTGTATCCGCGCCATTTCGGAAGGAGCCACATCCAGACAGCGTAGTACAGGAAACAAATTATCAGGCTGTGAAGTTGTTAATAGAGCAGTCATTAGTAGCTTGGAAGATTTGACTTACATGGCGATGCCAACGACGCAGTATGTAGCGTACCAGAAGCTGACGCTACCTGCGTACGGGCCACCCTTGGGCGGCCACCAAGGCATAACAAGAATGTAAACCTGGAGGAGGATGAAGAAGATGACCGTCACGTGCCATGACTTGAACTCAGTGCGTCCAAGACCGGCACGCTTGCGGCGAACACGGATTAGGTAGACTCCAACTGCCATCGCGAAGTGGAAAAGACCGTCAGGGTATGTCTTCAGGCTGATAACTGCGGAACTGTGAGTACTAGCCGCCTTTCATCAGAAACAGACATGCTCACCAAATTGAAAAGCATCTCCAGCCGGAGGTGCCGCAATCATGATGAAAGTCATGATCCATTTCAGGAAGTACGGTCCAATTGGGGTTCCGAAGGGTTTTGTGTTCACCCAGAACTCGGTCCATGGGAGAACACCTTGCCTGGGGTACTGTTAAATCTTGATCAAGGATAGCTTGTTTGGGGGGTCCATACCGTCCAATCTCACGGATTACGCGGGAAGAGCCGATCAGCACTCCTAAGAGATTGCCGAAAGCACTGAGTAGAACAAGGAAGTTCAGCGCCTGCTCAGCAGGACCGGTCCCGAACACCTTGGTAAAGAAGACCGCGGCAGCAATCTCTTTTGCAGTTTTGAATTCAGCCTTAGGCACTGAGAACCAACGTTAGCCAGAATCAAGACGAGTAATGAGGGCCATCGTACCGGCAGCAAAGTAAGCGACGTTGCAAAACATGTAAAGCACAGCCACAACCACCACAGAGATTGTAGCATGTCGCTTGAGGACAGGAATCGGGTTCTTGATCTCGTTCACGACATTGAAAGCGTTGCTATAGCCGGTGTATGAGAAAATAATGTTGACAAGGGCTGTAGCCAGGTCGTTGCCATTATCCGTCGTTCCTTCGAAGGAATTGCGGAAGTTGGCATTGGGATCAGGAATGTGATCGACATGGCCGCCGAGAACAACGAGTCCGGTGATCGAGATGAAGATAAGAGTTATGATCTTGATTGCGCCGATGATGTTTGTTGCCCAAAGGGAGTATTTGTTGTGGGCAACAACACATATGACGGCAAAGGTGTATGCGGCGATCGCAACTCCCTTTAATTCCCACGCAGAAGGCGTCTTCCCTGCAATTCGCCAGAGGTATCGTGACAAAACTGTGTTATGTTAGCATACATCATCGAAGATATGTTGAGATTCTAGCGGTATCATACCAATCGCATTACTGCTGCTGAATGAAAGAAGAACAGACTGCACCGCGAAAGCGATGGGAAAGAAGTGCTTCGGCCGAGGATAAGCTTGCTCCAAATACACTACCTCCGCACCACTTCGATTAGGAAAGTAGCTAGCCAGTTCCAGATACACGCTCAGTCCCGCGAGAGCCATGAGGAAGCCTATTGTCCAGTAAATGAAGGCTAGCCCTACGGATCCAGTGCCATTGAGGACGGATGCAGCTATGACGTTCAGATTAGTCTTGCTCTCTTTTACCTGGGGGATGATCGGTAGCCATACGCGTCGAGAAGATGCCAGTGCCAATCATCTGATTTACATTCAGAAAAATGACCGTAATCCAACCAACGTGGTATCCGAGAGGGGAGTGTCTCTCGACGGGTGCCCCGACAGCCTCTTGATATGCCGGCTTGGATCCATTTCCTCCTTTCGCGAGCGTGTAGGCGAGATCTCCGTCTCGGATGATGGAGTGCTCGGAGTCGGAAGCCTCGACGTCGGCTGGACCGCGCTCGTGTATTGTCGCATTTGGGCCCCCGAACCTTGGAGAGAGCTTGGAGAACACCATGTTTCCAAACCTGCGATCCGGTGGCTTGGTACACTTTGAATGTAACTGGAGAACTGCTCCACTGATTAAACGTGCGGGATGGTGAGACGGCCTCAGCTTCGGAAGAGAGCCGATCGCACGTTATCGAACGCGAAAGATTGCGTATTGCGGGGATAAGGAGGAGGAACCACGAGTGAGCCACTCACCAGGTTCCTGCGTTCCACCGCCTCACCTTTAAACATCGGCCCAGCCGTCCATCGTTCCTCGATTGAATGGTCTGGACTCGTGAACCCGTGGACGTTACTTCAATGCCAAGTGCCAACAGAATTGCCCAGAGTCGCGAAGATGGGGCGCAAATGGC